AATAATGCCTATCTACAGGCAGCCGTTACGTTGCTGGAGAAAGTTCGCGAAGCCGAGTAATGCAAGTCGCTCTCTCGCACAGACAGAGCGCTGTGACTGGGGACAGCATTCCCTACCGATCGGAAATGAGAATAGAACATATGAATCATCAGTTTTATTGCCTAAAACGAAATATACACGCATTGGAAATAGATTATGCTATAACCACTGGAGAATATACGAGTACTATACTGTAAGTCACCAATAGAACTGTTAAAACTTATTTAAAAACAGAAAACTTTTATGTCACTAGATCAGAGCTTAAGACGAACCGACTGGGCGAAAGTTGTATTTGTTTCTTTATGTTTCAGTCCTCAAGCGTTCGTTTTTGTTCGGAAGATTATCGGATAAGAGACTTTCCTTTCAGATAACAAGTTAATTTTCATTAAAGAATGTTTCTATCGGCAATATTTCCTAACTAAAATATTCGTAAAGAAATGCTTATTTGTAGAAAGTGCAGAATACTATGCGTAAATATGAGTGGACCTTACATAATAAATTCTGGAGCAGTCACATGTAAATCAAACACTACACCTGTAAGCCCTATTCTTTTGGGGATATTTACCAGAGGGCATACACTATTGAAGTATACATCGATTAAATAAAACGGTTATTTTTTAAAAAAATATTTAGATTTTGAAAACTAATATAGGAGATTCTAATGAAATGAAATGGGATAGAACATAACAGAAATTCGTCGCTTCATTTGTAACAAACCATCGAGACATGTGAACACAGTGACACTAGTATTTGTGATGGTATTTTTTTTATTGCAAATGGGGTGNCTGTGCGCCGATGTGTCAACCGCAGGCCAGCCATGCCTTAGCAAGAAATTTTGTCCACGACAACCACAGTCCCAGGGACCCACCTTAAATATCGTGTGTGTCGAATTAACAAATTTTGAACATTCACAGAGCCCAGCACAAACCCACCAGCAATCATACGATATAACCAAAAAGAGAATTAATTGGGATTGTATGTGTAATATAAACTTCTGAATACTTTAATCCCAAGTTCCATATTATTTTTGATTACAATTTTAATATTATTTTTAAATGGATGCTACTAGTTATGAAAAGTAAGTTTGCAATATAAATGGGCATGCAAACCTGCTCCTTAGGACACACACGGCTAAATGGCAGTCGAAACCTTTTTTTTTTTGTTAACTAATTAACCTGACGCCCAGCCTTCGATGACAATGACTTTGTGATTAATAGATAATTGCAATATGTGGAACAACACTATTTGCGTGTTGCATATAGACTAGGGACGGCCTAGGTCCACCTGTCTTCGTTGCAGAGACCTCGATACGTCACACTGATTGATACTTAAGTGAATAATAATGCCATCCAGTTCAATCACTTTAATATTATATATATATACATTTATATTCTCTGGCCAGCTTTGGCCATCATCAGAAACTTCTACAGCATGATAAGGCAGTCTGTGGCCACCTGCTCACACTGGTTCCTCGCTGGTGGGTTTTCCTACCCGGAAGATGAAGGCGATATATTCCTCCGAAACGGCGGTTCACTGGAGATCTACACGGCGCCACAACCCAGAAGGCGGCATGATTCTTACTCACATTCGTGGAAGCCTCAAATCTTAAATATTATTACTGTTTCAGACTGTTAAAAACCTATTTACATAACGCTAATTTTTACAACAATTTGATATAATTAATCTTAATTTTAATGGCAAAAATCCCTATACAGAGACATATGTATACCATGAATGTAAAATATTTCCCTGTAGTGTTGGAGAAATTTCTGATGACGGCCAATGTTGGCGCAAACATATAAAGCTGTATTAAGATATTTTCTATAATAAACTGGTTACACTTGATGGGATTACTATTCACTCAAATAAAAAGAGCATAGGTAACAGGCCATGGAGGACCATCGGTCTGTGAGACGTCGAGGCTCCCACATTTTCTAGACAATCGGCTCACAGATGGCGGTGAGGATGTCAGCCTTACCCGCCGGCCGCGCTTTACCCCCAAGAATATTCCTGGTACTCATTTCTCTTAGAGCCTGAGTGGACCGCAGGGTAATAGTGTGGCTGGAAGGATTAGGTCAACTGAAAAATTTCACCTCATCGGAATTCAATCCCGCGACTTTCAGGCTTGTAGCATAGTGCCTCAACTAACTACGCTACCGCGTGCCCCCAGTCTGCAGCCAGTAGGGGCCCTAATTGTAATGAGAGCTTCGGCAAGACAAGTAAAGATAATTTTAAAAATGTTCTCGCTAATTGACCCCACCATGAAAGTAGAGCATGGTCTCAAAATGTCAAAACAAAATCTGGTATATGCCTAACAGTGCGTAAGTTAATTAAATGTTTTCTTACAATATTATTAAGAAAAGCAACCCCCGTTTTAAAATTATCAGATAAGTAAAAAAAGAATCAAGTACTTAATTGTGATTGAATTTCATAAATGTGTTTTTTTTTTTCGAATTTCAAAATAGCCCTTTAAGTGCCGACACAGGAAACTTGAATTCCGTCTGTGGGAGGCAAGAATTTCGGCACGAAGCCCGTAAACAAACCCCCCCTGACATTTCAATAATACGAGCGCTATAGGCGTGATGAATTGCACAGCACTGGCGGTTCTTTCCGAGCTCCAAGTCAAGACTTTAAACGAATACCACCACTGCAGACGCTTTATCTTTCTTACTTAGGGAGCTGAGCCCTTCTTGAAAAGCCAATTCGGTAGCTACTCAAGAATTTCGCACCATTTTATGGAACCCGAAGGTTCATTACCGTGTTCACAAGCGCCCTCGCTTATCTTCAAGAAACGGGTCTACTCAGAACTTAATCAGGTTGATTGTCTTTCTCAGTATTGACTCAAAACAACTTATAATTTTCCGAACAGATTAGCGTAGCGGTATTTTTCTAAACTTGTATTCGGAATAAGTCGGTTCGAATTTCGGCCAAGAAGCTGGATATCCTGGTTGTGATTTGCTGTAGTTTTCCTCAGTCTCTCTATACAAATTTAGGGATAGTACCTGATTGGGTCGCAGCCGTTTCCTTACTGATCTTTTCAAATTCATTATTCTTCAACCATTTTACTCGACTGTACACAGTCTGAGATACCTAGAGACTGCTTCGTGTCTAAACAACAACTAAACAAAGACACAACTTGAAGAAGTAGGCCCTCTATGTCTAAGGGTAGACTAAATATGGAAGGCTATAAACAAAGCGTGTAAGCCTGTGGCCTATACCAGGTTACTGTAGGCAGTAAAGGTCTCAAATCTGTGGTCAAGGCCCACAAAAGTTTATTTAGTGCGACCTCTACAGGCCCGCTAGAAAATTCTATAAATCTTATTTAAAACAAGAAGCTTGCTGTCTTCTGAGATGTGATGCCGTACAGACTGTTAAATAGTTTCCTCGGAAACTGTAGTACTTATTTACCAAAGTGTACGATGTTTCATCCCAGGAGACAGAAATCTTCACAGTTATCAACTTCAGGGTCGAAGACTAACCCGAACTAGCTCTGCTTGCCACCTGTTTCTTATTTGGTTCCTACTTGGCTTATCATTCGACCATGAAGATGGAGACAGTACATTCCTCCGAAACGTCGATGGACTTCTACCGGACTAAAGGACGTCACATCCTACCCTCACTCTTCATATGCTCCGCTGTGAGAGCCTCAACCTAACAGAGCATCAGTTAGCGGCTTATGTAACCACAACATAGAATTCTTATTGTGGGTTAAATTCTCGTATGGCAGGTGCGATTTTAAACTTCAAATTAATTTTGCAAGTTGATTAAGAAAAGACTCCTGAAGTGCGAACGCCCAATTCTTCTCATATTCTTCGCCTGGACATTAAAGTGTTCAGGAATTGATATCACTATTGTACAGGTTAAACTTTCAAGTTGGGATGGTTATAAAAAATCCGTGGCTTGAGTCCGCAAGCGAACTATACCGATCGAGGAACCGCAACTTGTCGGTGAACTTAGAGGGTGTCGCGTGATCAGCGCAACGAATCCCCACTGCCCTTAATTTCGGTTTTCTAGACCGGAGCCGCTATTTCCTTGAAATAGCTCCTCAATTATCCTCACGAGGCTGAGTGGACCCCGTTCCAGACCCACTACTTCTCAGAAAATCTGGTAATCGATCCCGGAACCTCTGGATCTGTAGCCAGGAACTCTGACCACTAGCCCACAGACGCGGTCCTTTTGGTACTTACGTGCATGACAATTACATATTACAGCAGTATGTTATGGTGCGTTTGTACAAACTTATCGCCCTTCTATAAAGTCTGAGATAGGCTGTGAGTAGTCAAAATAGAAAAAAGTAATAGGTTTATTAATGTAGGTCCACGCAAAACTGAAACAGTGGTTCTTGTAATGTCTTGCGATGTATTGGGGCCTCAACGTAAACAATCGAAATTACTTTCTTGCAAGCCAATCCCTTGTAACATTTGAATTAAGCATTGTTACGCCTGTTACATGATCGTTTAAAATACCAAATTAAGAACACAGAAAGAGCGATAAAACAGGCGGTCATTTTACACAAAATTGGAAAACAAAAATAGCCGACATGCTCAATCTTTAGAAGCGAATTCATTATGTAAAGGCAGACTTTCTCTCACATAAATCGTAAGGAAACAAGACATAATCTGAGATAATTACTAAAAAATCATTATAGGCTGTAAACTAACTTTTGATTTTTTTCTTCTTGAATGGCTCTTGTGCTCATCATTTCCTGTCCATGAACTAAGAAACTAATCGAAAGATACAGATCGCATCTTATAATTATTTCAGACATATTGTGTGACCACATGGGCAGATTTAGTTATATATAACAATTTCTGGTTCTTGTAAGATTTTGAACCTTCTTCATAACATCAGACTACGATAAGGTAGATAATTTAAATAAACTGCATTGTCACAAGTTCGTCAACCCTTACGAGTATTTACAATGATACCGGGAACTGCTAACTACGTTGCCGGCACTGTCTTTACGAGTCCGTCGCGTTGTCATGGAGATGGGAGCCAGCCTGCTGCTGCTGTTGCTGGAGCAACCTATGCTGCTGAGCTAGCTGCTCGTAGTACCGACTCACCAGTTGCTGCTCCATGGTGCTGACGAGGCTCGAACCAGGGAACATGACTGACTGGTGCAGTGCCAGAGCCGCGGCGGGGTGTTGTGGCTGCTGCCCCCACGCCGACAGAAGGGGTGGCTGCAGAGATGGAGACGAGTCCTGGTTCTGCGGCTGTCTCGGAGACTCTCCTGCTTGCTGTTCCGAGGTCCTGTCTTTCCCTTCGGCGTCCTGGTCACTGGTCACAACGTCGATGTCTTCCTCGGCACCGTCCTCCTCGCCGCTACTCATGTACGCCTGCCCCATCAGCTGCAACCTCCGAGGCAGTTTCCTGGAACTGCTGTATTCCTCCCCGTTGTCAGGCGCGAGTAGCGAGGCCACATCGAACTGTCGCTTCCTGGTTATCCCGCAGGTTAGTGGCGGGAATATGGCTGTGGCTGTCGCTGTGGGTCCTGGTGCCCAGCAAAGTCCGGGTACGGTAGAAAGAGGCGGCGGGCTGGAAGCTACTGGGGGCGGGCTGGGAGAATCACCGCCTTCCTCGTCAACAGCTAGCCCCATGTGCTTGCGGACTTTCCTCTGAGCTTTGCGGCGCCTGAAGTCGCCCTTCTTGAAGTCTTCCACATTGGCGGGATGGATTGCCCAGTAGTGACCCTTACCGTTGGCGCTTCTTCCAGCCTTGATGAAACAGTCGTTGAGAGACAAGTTGTGCCTGATGGAGTTCCTCCAACCCGGGCCTCGTGACCGGAAGTAAGGGTAGTTATCCAGAATGTACTGGTAGATATCTGACAGTACCAGCTTCGATTCCGGGGAGCTCAGAATCGCCATGGCAATCAGACCGATGTAGCTGTGTTGAGGTTTTGGTTCTTCTGGCTGAAGTGCTCGGTGGTGGAAGAGAGACATGGAGAAGGCTAACCGGGGGTTGTATGGAGGGTAACCTGGACAGAGGGGCAGTGGTGCAGGGTAGTGATGTGAAAACCTCAGCCGTTCCGCCATAGCGTAATTGTATAACTGGAGGCGGTAATGATCCAGTGGCAGCAAACCGCTGGGGGCGGCATTTCCGGGGGCGGGCACACCAGTGGCAGTCTCGTTTAGCTGTTTGAGGGCTCCTAAAGGATACGGTAGGAGGCCTGCACCCCCAGTAACCCCACCGGTTGGAGTCGTAGTCGCCCTTTCGTTGCTGCACATTCTTCAGATGAGAGGGTAGGTTCGGTGTCTCAACATCACACGCAACTTCTCACCACTGATGCCTCCAGCTGCTGCCGCCGCATGGTCCAGCTCTGCATCCCCCCTCCCCCGCCCAACAACATCAACAGAAAGAACAAAACAAGCCCCTGTCTGTATTTGTGAGCAATATTTGAGTACAGTTGGTATATGCTACATCTGAAGAGAGGGGGTTGGTAGAAAAAAGCTTGTTCTAGAAGCTGATTGGCCAACCGGTACTATCCGATGTTATCCTGTACACAGTTTGCAAAGTCTGGCGCACACAGCAGCCCACCCCCCGGCGTGGGAACAGCCAACCGGAGAGCACCGCTGTTTTCCTGCAAAGTTTAGAGGGAGGGGGGGCTGAGTCGTGTGCTATAGTGAGGGCTGTTCGGAGGAACAACGGCATAAGAAGCACCACCAAGTGGACAAGCTCAGTCTATTCTGCATTATCGATTTCCGCTTTACATAATGAATAAAATCCTAGTCCCTAGGGATTCATGCGATACCTCGGCCACACTTCAGACAATTATCTTCACATTGTGACTTCCTAACCAGACTGAGTCATACGTTAGTTAATGACACTGATTAAAAAAACAAAATTATTAATTTTCACGTCTATATAAATGTAATGGAATAAACAAGTGACAATGAACTGCATGGAACAGGTTATTCTAGCGGTAACGATCTAGAGGTTTAATATTCAGGAAGTTCTTACCTCGAATCTCAGCTGAGACGCTGGCTAACCGGACCAAAGTTTTCGTGGTTTTTCGCTGGTACCTCTAGACAGATTCTGGGATAGTGCCTTAATCAAGCTACAATCGCTTCCTTTTAAACCTTTACCAGCTGATCATTCGCTGCAATTCGACAGTGCGGAGTTTGGAGTGTTGAACAGTCTTAAGATACTTATATATTTACTCACTCATGGAGCTGAGCCCTTCTGGAGGAGCCGCCAAATCCGCAGCTACTCAAGAATTTCCCAGCATTTTATGGAACTCGAAGGTTCATTACCGTGTTCACAAGAGCCCTTCACTTGTCCCTATCTTGAGCCAGATCAATCCAATCCATACCATCAGATTCTATCTCTAGGATCCATTTTAATATTGTCCATCTACCTAAGCCTTGGTCTTCCCAGTGGCCTCTTTCCTTCTGGTTTTCCCACCAATATCTTATATGCATTCATCTCCCCCATTCGTGCTACATGCCCTGCCCACCACATCCTCCTTGACTTGATCATTCTAATTATACTTGGAGAAGAGTACAAGGTATGAAGCCCCTCATTTTGCAGTTTTCTCCAACCTTCTGTCACTTGATCCCTCTTCGGCCCAAATATACTCAGCACCCTCAGTCTATGTTCCTGCCTTAATGTCACATATATACAGAACCACAGGCAAAATTATAGTTTTGTATATTCTAATTTTTATGTTTTTGGACAGCAGACGAGAAGACAAAAGGTTCTGGACTGAATGGTAGCAAGCATTGCCCTAATTCAATTTCCTCTAAATTTCCTCCTGAATCAGGTTTCGATCTGTTATCGTTGTTCCCAAATATCTGAGATGTTGTGTCATGATTTTGCCCTGCATTTTGGTGACGAGACAGCGACATATACTCAGTTTTCTCTGTGTTTACTTCTAGACCAACCTCCTTACTTGCGTCAACTAAAGTCAGTGTGTTTTTAATCTTAAGATGACCCACACAAGTTACTGAGGAAAACCACAGAAAATTTCAGCCCGTCTTAATTTAATACTAATATATTTGACGATGCTTTTAATAGCGTAGATTGGAGCCTATATGGTGCAGAATAATAGGATGAGCAGTGAATACTGAACTGGAAAGAAATGTCGTGGCCTCTTTGTTAAATGTGGATTTACGTTTCTGAGCAAATAACTCGACAGCAGAGTCTAACCGTTATGAGATATTAGCGTACACAAAACACAGAGACCTCTATTTGAGTTTACGTAGGCTCCACGCTCCACGCTGCATTCCCGTGCATGAACGCATGTGGGCTGCGCGAGACAAAATGTCCGATGAGGTGAGATATATGTAGCGAAAGGAATCGTGTACATGGGAGGGCGAGGCTCGTAACCATATTAAAACTGCGTAGACTTCCACCATGAAGCCGTGAAAATACAGAATGCGTAAATTGCGTAAGTCGGGTACATTTCTCCTGACCTTCGCCAGCACAGTCGTTCTAGGTTTCGGGCCGCGAGGAACCCATGACCACATTTCTTTGTCCCAGTACTCTCAATAAGTTTGGGTAATCACCTGTAGGAATATAGGCCCATTTGTAAAATACTAAATACGTTACGGGGTAAGCCTGTTCCTTATACCAGAGAACACTGAACTTGCTGTATATTTAATTTAGCGCCTGCAATAAGCATCATACAATATCATAACCATTAAATCAAATTTCCTAACGGGTAGGCCTACTTCGTGATAGGGGTCTATGTTAAAATTAAAAATATTTGGGCTGCTTACAAGAGTTCGGTCAATAAATTGTCTGGAAACGGACTGAACTGGGAGCCGGGAGAGCTCAGTCGGTATAGCGACTGGCTACGGGCTGGACGGCCGTGGGGTCAGATTTCGAGTCTCGGTAGGATCAAGAATTTTCTCTCCACGTCATCCAGACCGGCTCTGGGGCCCGCCCAGCCTCCTATCCAAAGGGTAGCGAGGGTTCTTTCCCCTGGGTAGAGCGACCGGGGCGTGAAGCTGACCACTCACCTCCAACTAGTGCCGAGGTCAAGAAAACTTGGATCTATATATCCATGTCCCCATACGCCTTCATGGCGTAATGCTTAATTAGTTAAGCACAGGGACAACTTTAAGCACTGAACTACCAGTTGCAATCTCGACAGCGTCATGAACTTTCTCTTCGCCGCTCTGTACAGATCGCTTAGAGTGCGTAATGAGTGGTAGTAAGCTCAAGCGGTTAGTCGCTGGCTTCTCACCGCGGTGGTCCGGGATCGGTCCCGGGTCTGGTCAAGTGGGATTTGTGGTGGACAAATTGGCGCTGGGGCGAGCTTTCTCCTAGTACTTCGGTTTCCCCTGCCAATCTTCATTCCACCAATTGCTCCACAATCACCCACACCTATCACCTGGGGCTGGTACAATAGGCCAGAAGTGGCTGCGGTACAAGGGACTTAGTCCCTCCCCCACTAGCAACAAAAAAAGGCTACGGGATCTCTCTCTCTGACGTAATGCTATCAATGCCAGAAGATAACCACCGACTACAGCCTATGCGGTTTAGAATTCACGACTTCAGTAGGCCTTCGTGGTATCATGCGTAGTTATACCCATAGGCTAGCTTATCTCTTTACGTTACTAGGGGTCAAGTCAGTGGCTGGACAAGTTAATATCATACTTACATGCTTATTCATTTAGGCCCATATTTCGGGCGCGTCATGGCTCAGGCGGCTAGAGGCCAGCTTACCATCGCGTCTGCCTGAATTCGATTCCAGAGCAGGTCATGTGGGATTTGCCATGAATAAAGTGGAATTGGGGCAGGGTTTCTCCGAATATTTCGGTTTCTCCTGCCAATTCTTATTCCACCGACTTGTTCATACTCAACTCTCATCTGGGAGCTGGTACAATAGGCCCAGTAGTGCCTGGCGTAGCAAGTGGACTCAGTCCCGCTCCACGAATTGATTAAAACTGGGCAGGATATGACCATCATATCCTCAGGGGTTAAATAGCCTATGGCGATTGATCTCTTACGAGAGCCTTGGCTGTGTACAGGGCATAGAAGTCAGGTAATGACGCAGTCAGTACCTGCGACTATATAGGCGTAGTGTTGGATTGTAAAAAAACTAAACTCCTTGGCCTTTATTCCGCAAGCGAACTATACCGAAAGAGCGACCGTCGCTTGTCGGCGAAGTTAGTGCCAACTTTAGTGGCTAGAGAGTGTCGCGTAGTCAGCGCAACGGATCCACACGGCCGTTAATTTTAGTTTTCTAGACCGGAGCCGCTATTCCCTTGAAATATTTCCTTAATTATCCTCACGAAGCTGACTGGACCCCGTTCCAGACCCACTACTTCTCAGAAAATCTGGTAGCGCTGCGAATCGAACCCGAACCTCTGGATCTGTATCCAGGAATTCTGACCACTAGACCACAGAGGCGGTCTATAATATAAGTTTAAAAGTATGCCTTTGAATTATTAATCTGACAACTGCTTCAAGGGATTCAAAAAGACCATGAAAAAAATTTCAGTCATAGTAAGCCGAGTCAAGATTTGAAGTCGAGACTATCAAAATAAGATGTGTCTCACACACACTGAATCCAAACTTTCGGTGTTACTCGTAATATGACGCCATCTTTGCCGTGACTTTAATTTCACTGGTACATCCTATGATCTGACTGGGTATATCATTAAGTTCAGCTCACGTGTAGCAAAATTACTTGGGTTCTTTAGAAATAACCTCATGATTCCGCTCCTCCAACTTGTTTCTAATTGTAAACTCCACGAAATCTGATCATACACTAAGACAATTTTAGATAAACAAATCTCTTTTATAGACTAAAATTTTTCCATAAGAAAAGTTTGTCAAACCCTGGTGCAGTAATTTATTCGTTGTCAAGACGAAAGCTAAGTAACATTTCTTTGGTCTAACAAGTTGTTGTTTTACATTCTACAAATGTATGCGTCAACGAAAATTTGATATATTGTTTTACGACTTGTTATGTCTGCTATATGGAACAGGTCAGCAATACCAACAGATTAAGCGGCGCTAGCGAACTTCGCTCTTTATAACCTCGCACTGCCGCAGAGTTGGTATTACTGATGTCACGATATTATGAATTAGGCTAATAAAGAATGGGTTGCTTCTAGTGACAAGATGTTATTTCCAACTTTAATGAAAATTCATCCGTTATTTCAACTCACATTAGGAAGGCGGACACTGATATGGAGAACGCAGTCTTCTGGGATGTGACGTTGGCTACTCGCTCGCGTATTTTTCTTCTACATTGAAGATGGAGGCGATACATTCCTCCGA